AATCAAAACAATCAAAATAACTTTTTTTCCTTTTTTAATAATACAAACATTTCCACTATGCAGCATAAATGTTCCTTCTGACCCAAAGTGAAGATGCATTTTCGATAAATTTCCTCTAAATTTACACTGGACCCCGGCCTGTGAGGAGATGTCTCTGCCTGGCACTGACGTTGATCGTCCTCCACCAGCTTGTCTCCGTACTGCAGTGAGGCAACATCAGGAATGTAATTATGTGAGAAAGAAGTAGTGCACATTCCGATGAGGATGAGGAGGAGGAGGAGGAGGCCATGTTGGTACAGTGTTCATTACTGAAAATAACGCCAACACACAACAGCTGTGTCTGTGGTACTAATATTCCTGTGTACTCCCACATTCCTGAAGGCCCAGATATTTCTTTAAAGTTGAGATGAGAGGGAAACTTTCCTCAACATCGTCCAGCGATGTTGAGAAAACAATAGCAAGGCTGAAGCGAAGAGGAGGAAGGAAGGAGTAGGAAGTTGGCCTCTGATTTTCCTACTCCGGCTCCTGCTCTACTGGGAGGAAAAGAGAAACAGTAGAAGCGCAGTGGGAGGAAGAGGAGCAAGCCAAACATCAGGACAAACAAGTTTGTGTCAGTGTATCTGAGCTCCTGAACTCTGCTGGAAGACAGGTCAAAGGTTAAGGCAGAAGATTGACTGAAATTCCTCTCAGTGGGGGCTTGGGTTTTTCCTCTTACATAACACCGTGACTATCCAACAGCCTACCTGTCTGAAGATCCCAATCTGTCAGAGTAAAGTCTGTCTAGTCCAGTCTTTGTTTTGTTCAACTACAGCATACGTGTCAAACTCAAGGCCCAGGGGTCAAATACGGCCCGCCAAGCCATTTTTTGTGGCCCATGGGAACTTAAAAAGCATTTTAAAAAGTCCATGCAGCAGAGTTTATCAAGCTATGAAATTAAAAGTTTTTTTTATTACACAGCAATGAACAATATTTTTTTTTTTCAGATTATCGTCAAATAAAGAAAGTAAATGGAAAAGACTTCCTTTTTTTTTTAATGAAGTAAATTAGAATTTTTTCATTTTTTCACTGTGTCCCACTGCGGGCCGGTACCAAATGACCTATGGACTGGTACTGGTCCGCGAACCAGGGGTTGGGGACCCCTGATCTATATAGTGTTCCATTTAAAACCCCTTCAACAGGAACTGTATTGCTGATGTGGCCCCCGGTGAAAATGAGTTTGACACCCCAGATCTACGGGAAAGCACGACTGTTTTTAATAACATGTACTCTACAACGACAACAAAATACAGTATGTACTCAGGCTACAACGACAACAAAATCCAGTTGCTAAAAATGAAGTTTCAGGAGAAAAAAAAACACATGTTCAGATGTTTTTTCACACAGCAGAAAAAGTATTAATCATCCATCAATGTTTAATTTAATCCCCCTTAATTATTACTATGTTATTTCTCAGAGCAAACATTTGTTGAAGCTAATTAGCTGTATGCTAACCAGTCTTTAGCGGATTACTTACGCCTTTAATCCGTAAAATAACATGAACTGAGGCCATTGCTTTCATTACTCTTGCTTGTTAATGTCATTTTATATCAACATGAGGTTATTGTTTTCCCAGGGTTGGAGTTGTGTGACCCTCCTCACCGCCTCATGGTGGCCATGGTCAGTGGGTTTTTTGCCATTTTTGCTGAGGTGCTTCTGCCAGGTTTGGCCGTTTTGTGCCAAGACTGGCGAATCCTCCAGGCGGTCGTCACGGTGCCGCTGCTGCTCCTGCTCTCCTACTGGTGGTGAGTCTGGCAGATTTGTTGGCTCGAGGCCCTGAGTATGTTTGTGGTCAGATTTTAATGAAGGTTAGTCAATTTAGAGGTGGCAACCTGAGATTTGCAGCAGATAAAAAAGTAAGAAAGCCTTAAGACCACAAACAACGGTGCCATTTTTATTTTATTTTTTGTTCAGTTCAAATTGTGTTTTTTTAAGGAAATTCCTGTGATTAAAAAAAAACCTCTGAAGTTTGAATTAAAAAATATTTTGACAGTATTGCTACACACAATGTGAGAGAGGGTTTTTACAGAAAAGGTTTGCTTTAATCACTGTTCAAGGATTATTTATGTAAATCAAAATATCGTACGTATGTATGGAATCTATAAAATCTAACCACACCCGTTTTCCTCAGCTGTGCCTCTGTGTTTCCTGAATCTCCTCGCTGGCTGTGGTCTACAGCTCAGATCCATCAGGCGAAGAGAAGTTTCCTGGAATTCTCCACCAGGAATGGCGTTTGTCCACAAGAGCAAATGTTTCCCAGTGAATCTTTGTTGTCAGGTAGGAACATTCATGGGCAAATATTCAAATATACAAACTCTGTGGGGAAATTTGCAAGTCTTTGCAACTCACACAGGCTGCCACTGGGAGGCGCCATTAAGTACGTAAGTCTTCTGGGCCTCGAACCCACACAGGCTGCCACTGGGAGGCGCCATGAAGTACGTAAGTCTTCTGGGCCTTCTGAGCTTCTGCGACAAGATTTTTTTGTGACAGATATTTTTGTCAGATTTTGCAGTAACCGCAAAAATAAAATACTGTGATATTAAGAAGCTCACGTGTTGCATGATGGGTCTCTGCCTCCAGTGGTTCATTGAGGAGATTTTAGACATGCTGGGAGGCGTCACCAGTGGCAAAAAAACCTGTTTGGAGACATGCTAATGCCTCTCCCCAAGAGAGAGGAAATTAATTGTTTTTCTGTTAATCCCATATACACAATAATAAAGTAGAAATGTAACTGTTATTAGTAGTAACCTCAGTGTAGCGATGGATTCATCCTGAAGGCTCACGGTTCCTCACTGCCTCTGGTCTGTTTCCAGAGATGGACTCAGTTCACGGAGAAGACTGTCGTCCATGTTACCACTCAGTTCTGGAGCTGCGTCGGACTCGTATCATCTGGAAGAACTGCCTCATCCTCAGCTTCGCTCTGTGAGTTGAAGAGAATCCACTTCAGATGTACCTTCAGCACAAACACTGTGGATTCTTTTCAAACGATAAAGTCCCGTCTACTTTGTTTTGTGTCTCCCGTCCAGGTTCATCGGGACCGGTATTCAGTACTGTTTCACCAGGAATCTGCACAGTTACTCCACCAACTTCTACTTCAGCTACTTCATCAGAATCATCACCGGAGCTCTGGCCGCCGTCTTCCTCTGCATCACTGTCAATCACTTCGGGCGACGTGGCATTCTGCTGCTGTCGGCCATCATCACTGGACTGTCGTCACTGCTGCTGCTGGCCCTCACTCAGTGTATGACCA